TTTATATACCGGTCTCTCGTTATAACGGCCAGAAACTGCCAAAACACTCGTGCCGGTATAGACAGAGTTGACTGTAGACCGAATAATCACGTTCTGTTGATGTACCACAGTGGGCAGTCAATATGGATGGCACAATATCCAACATAAGCCAGCACAGGATATAGACGCGTCTTTGTAGTCTACATAATAATTTGTTCACATCAACAAAACATTTGCCATAATAACTTTATACTGGTACTAATGTAAGGTAACTTTAATGATTATTTAATAGCACATAGTGGATGAACAACCAATTGCCAGTTGTGTCTAAATTTACATTATGAGTATGCTTCAAGGTATAAACAGTGAACTTTTGCCTTACGAAGAAATTGAAAATACGCCACTAACACATATTATATCTATTAATAATGGGGCCTTGTCAACTCAAAGAGAAGCAAACGATTGATTGTATTCTCAAAAATTGCCTCGTTCTTCGCTCCAGATCTTTTGTAATGCTTGCAAGTAATATGTTCTATTAGCGATTGATAGATCTTCCCAGTTTCAAGGAAAAGCCAGTATTATAGAGTCGTGGTAACTTTAGTAACTGCCAACATGACGTCTGCTATATATCATCAGCAAATCACAGAGAAATAAAAAATGGTTAAAGCAACTGCTATGTTAGTCGAAGGAAAATATGTAGCATGTTTGATTAAACTGAGCAATTAACATTCATCTAAATCTTACGTTTTATTCTGATCAGTTTTAGTATCGTCGTTCTATTACCCGCTGGAAGAATATCATTCGGAACTTCGAGAACTCTTAAAATCAAGAGAAACCGGAAGCTTACAGAACTTACACGATTACACCTACAAACTTGACTTTATTAGTAATCTTGTTATTAATTTTCTTCAACATACCATTTGAGAAATCGTAACTACAAACAACATACAGACGCATGCTTAGCCAATACACAGTTTACAATATCCTTATTCTCCCAATTTGCTATCTTCATCCGCCCCCATCCACTTTCTATTCTTCTTAAAGAAATTCCATAACAACCCGCAGGCATAAAGTCGGTAGCCTCCGTTCTTAGTCCTCTTAGAACCACCATTGACGACAATGCCGGATATTCTCTATATGAACTCTTGTTAAATAGAAATGTCTGAGCTACACTTCCTCGAGGACGCGCATGTCCAAGTTTAGGAAACGGGTGACGGTAAGTCACATGTGTCTCGAGAAAATTGTCTAATTGCGAACATCGTCATCTTCTATATAAGAAACGAACAGATGGAGAGAAAAAGTTAGCGAGTCAAGTGCAGTGAAATGGACATCGTAATTCGCAAGTACCGTTTGCGCGATGTGATGTTAACATACTAATTAGTTGGTCGGAGGTTTTGGCTGGTTCTTGGAAACTTCACCTAAATTTTCCCCCTCCTGATTTGGTTTCAGACATTCCTGTTCGTTTATTGCTGTATTGAAAGAGAAGTATAGAATATTGTTACTTGTGATACAAGAACAAAAATTTTTGAACTTTTTGGAAGAAAGGCTTACAATGTATTGGCTCAGCCGTTCAGCGAAACAGACATTGTATCTTCAAGAAGTGACTAAATCGCAGAAAATGTCAAGGACAAAGTCATAGATATTTGATATTCTTCCTCTTCAAAATCAATAGACGTGTTTTCTAGTTACCTTCTCTTCTTTTCGAAGTCAGTTGAGACGCAACAAAACATTATCTAATGCGTCTACCTCGCATGTCGGTGAATGAACGTAGCAATAGACTGCTATGCATTCGTTGCATGACGCCGTTGTCCGCCAACATTCATGAAAGCCTTTCGACAAGAATGATGAATAAGTACGTTAAATATTAAAACGGTGTATTGTATTGATAACAAATAAATTATCAGCACGAGATGTATACTTACTACGAAGTTCAAATTAAAGTGACCGTGTTGGTCCCAACTTTGACCTTCCATATTTCACCACCTCTATATCCTTTATTACTTGGTAGCGACTGTGCATCAAAGGCCTCTGTTCTTTCGACAATCTGTCCGATGCGTTCGATTTCCTCAGTCAACAATTCCTATAATAATAAAGCGAAACGGTCAAACATCACCTTGTATGATAGTTCTAATGTTCATCATCTGTCGGCAAGATTCTATTTACAAACCAGAACCCCAAGTCTACCTAGTATTATTTGTACATGTTATTGTTTCATAGTTTTACATGCGGGCGCACATAGCTTCCTCAGAGCAGTGACTTCTGGATTGGATACCGAACAGCAATTCTCTTCGTGTGCGATTGCTGTATACGGGGTGGAAATCTGGTTTGTAGGTTAATAGGCGAATAAATGAAACACGAAGAAAATTAAATAAGTAAGAATTGCTAAGTGGTAATCCTCTAACAGCTAATAATAAAGCAGTAAACTAATGCAAAACTAACTCGTTCATACAGCCTGTCACAATACAGTCTGTGCAGGTTCTGTGGACTTAATCTAAGACTTCTTTAACCCAAGTAATGACAATATATACCTCGTATTATCTCGAATCCATCGAATAATCAATCTATCGACAACAGGATGCTTCCTCTCGTATGCGATAAAAACACGTGACATATAAGCGTTGACAGAATTCCAATCCAAGACGACATTTTTTGTAAATGGGCCATTGGCTGTTGGCTCTAAATGCGCTTCATAGATTAAACAGAACGATTGTGACGAAAAATGTTAACGCGCTCTATATGTTCCACACATCATATGTAGTACAGTATTATCTTGATTTGACCAGAATAAAATCATTATTTACTGTACTTTCATTAAAGTTGATTTGCTTTGTGTCAAGTTATGGAAACCTCGATAAGCGGTACACGAGCTAAATGAAATAAAATTCGTTCACAAAATGTCTTTAGTAAATTAACTTTGGCGTCTTTATAGCTCTGGACACATTGCCTCTTCGGGCAAGCCAACTTTTCGAGTTCAACTAGCCTGTAAGGCATTGTGTTTATTACAGACGGAAATAACAGCATGAACTTGTACTCACGTTATAATTTAACTGAATTCGAAAAGTTTCAACTTCAAAGTTCAAATGTAATAGTTCGAAAAGGCGGACGCAAAAGAAAAAAATTCTTACAAATTGATTTCCGAACTTCACTATCAAAAAACATTAACACTCGTATTCATTGTCAATGTGAATTGTCAACATCATTAAATCTTTTATGAAGGTCATACTATGTTGATATTATTGGTTACGAATTTTTTCTGTCAAAGTCAGTGATTACTCATGAAATTTTGTCATAAATATATGTCATTAATTAAACCCATTTTTTACGGCACACGATTAGTAACTTACTCGACCTGCGTGTTTAAACTAATGGTTTCAAAAGCCCGCTCGCACTCTTTTCAGATTTCTAATAAAGAGGAAATATAGTTTGGGTAAGTAAATGATGAGCGAAAATATGGATGCGATACACATACGGCACGATAATATGCAGTCGGAACAACGGAACGTCTTACTCCATGGAGAAACACGTCTGTTTATCATCACTGAAGAAGTAACTCGAACACAGACTTATCTACCGTCTGATAGAGAACGCACAATTGTAATTTTTTTGCCAGGGGGTAATATACTCTTATTAGTTTGGAATTCTACTGATAATGATGTTGCTGCACGCACAAATTCACAATTACCAAGACTATTCTATGAAGAGTATAAATTATTCAGCACTCGTTACCACCTCTCTGAAATTACAGTGTGTAACAAAAAAAAAAACATTATTACTCAGTAACTACTGTGTTGATTTTTATGCTTTATGGTTTAAATGAAAGCTTGCAACTTGTAAATTTATTCAATAACAATTAATATGGTATACGCTCACCATTGCTCTTAATAATTAATTCACGCCGTCGTTTCATTGAGTCTACTAATTAATTAGAGTTGCTTATGGAATATTTTACCACTCCTCTTCCATAAACCGTTCTAACTATTCACAATTTTTGGGCATTCACCTCTCAAAATTACTTTTAACTATATTCCAAAGATTTTCAATTGGGTTTAAATCAGGACTATTAGATGGCCAGTCCAATATTTTTCTGAATAAAATCTTTAGCAACTCTACTTGTATGCTTGGTCTTGCCAAACATCTGATTAATTTCAGGAATATGTTGAGCTAAAATTTCAACATAAAAATTTGCATCCATGATTTGTTTAAAGCAAA